CTTTACTAACTCTATCTACTTTCCTATTGTTATAAGAAATATAAATACAAGAGAAACTACATAAAAATTTGATAAACCAGCCTAAACTATAAATTTGTATACTACTCAAAAGTAAAAGTATTTAAAATACTAGTAAAATCAATCTGAGCCGATGAGCTGTTCTAAAGAATCGGTTGTTTTTGGTGAGCTGAGCAGCTCCGATCCGCTGTGCAAAGTGAGTTGAATTGTACATCTCTAGCTAAGTATCCACCTTGAAAAGATAGGCAAAGTGCGGCTTGTGTTTAGTTGGCCCAAAATTAGATCTAAACCCTATACACAGAAAAAAAATCTGAATTTTAACTATTGCGTAAAATCTCCCTTCGTTTAATGTTGAGCTATACTTGGCATTAACAGCGAAATCGTTTACAAGTTTGCATACAATATTGCTAATTTATGCGATATTGCGCTTAAGTTTACACGAAATATCGCGTAGATTTATGCCAAATCTAGCGTTAATTTTATGTGCGCTATATGTCGCAGAAATTTACATGAATTTTTCGAACGGTGTATTGAAAATACAATGTTACTTCAGTTGTTATTCCAGGAAGTTTGTTTTTTATGTAGACTACGTATTACCGGAAGGTACTGGGGGTAAATCGTAAATCTAAAATTGCAACCGTCACGAAAAGGTGTAAGGTTTTGAACGCTTATAACTTTGTCATTTATAGATGAAATTAAAATCCAAATACACCAATCGATAGGAATTAACTCTCACAATTTGCTACAATATTTTTTTTTTCAAATTTTACACAAAATCGTTGAAAAATGTACAAATAAAAAGTAATAATTTTATCACTATTTTAATGAAAGAAACGTTTTCCCCAAACCAAGTCGTCATAATCGAGTACCATTTGGCTGCGCATCGTTTTGCTTGTACCTATAAAACTATATAAGAGCTCTCCTGTCGTCCCTCCGCTCATTAATGCTTGGGACGGCGTGGCAACCAGAAACAGGAGTAAATCAGGAAAAGGTGGAATTTTCCCCTCTGCCTCTGCTGAACATAACCGCAGTCAGCCTGACTAGCCTAGAGCGCTGCTATTGTGAATCCGCTCATTTTCACATCGGACGACACAAAATAGCAGCAGTCAGCGTGATCACCTTGATGACAACCAACGATGGGGTGGAGAGGATGTAGAATTTGTGGAGATCGAACAATTGATCCTTTTCAGGACTACACATATTTCACAGACTGTTTTCGGTCCCGTTCAAATAACGTGAAATGTTATTTTTATCTAACACAAATGACAAATGTTATTTTTATATAACAAACCCCCCCCCCCCATCCTCCTATAACGACAACCTAAAAAGAATTGACGTTAATTTTTCACCCGCCAAAAATTCAAGTTGAGAGAAAATTTGCTTGCCATGTATGCTGTACCTCTCACAGCTACAAAATAGTGTAAAACATGTCTGGTACCTCTTTATATGCAATTAGATTAACATCTGAAGTCCATCCTTTTTTACATATTCTGCACAAAAGATACTTTCTGTCACACCCAATTCATAAAAAAAGGCGGGAAATACTGTCAGGGGCGGTGCTTAGAAAGTAGATTTTGTGCAGAATATGCAAAAAAGGAAAATTTTCGGGTGTATTTTTTCTGCCGAATATGTAAAAAGGGAGGGACTTTGGATGTTACATACAAATTACAGATGCATTACTGTAAGAACTGTCAAAATCCTATGAATTTACACGCTAGTGTTCGTAAGATTCTGCTTGGCAAACTGAATTTTGGTGATTCTGGGCCGTCCGTCCCTGTGTTGAAGTGGGATCCAGAGGGACGGCAAAAAATCATTTACATCTTTAAGGGGAAGCTTACCGGCCCGAAAATAAAAAAATATTCTCGGTACATTTTTATTTCTTTAAAAATATTGGGGAAAAATATCAAAAATAAAATAATCAAAAAATGTTCCTTAGATTTTTGTCAAAAATTACATGTAAATTTTTTTTTCTATCTCATCATGAAAAAAAAAATTGGACTCTCAGCAAAACCGAAAAGTCGATGTTTTGTGGTTTTTTGAGTCCAACTTTATGCCATAATGACTTATAAAAAATGTTTTTGCACGTGAATTTTCTTTGAAAAATTAAAAAATATGTGATTTTCTTAGAATTTTGATATCTTTTTCCAATATTTTTAGAAAAATCAAAACGTAATTTTTTTTTCGGAGCGGTGAGCTTCCCCTTAAGCAGAGCTTTACATTGTTATTTGTTACAAAATTCATGCATCAAGTGGATTGACGAGTTTCTAAGCGCGTTCTAATTTTGTGAAAGCATAACTCTGAATATCAAATGTTCGATTATGCTGATGGAAAGAAAGTGAGGGGACAAACAACAAAATCAATCCAAATTAGCGGCCTTATTGGATACCTCCCAAGTAACAATTTGGGTTTTATGAGGGTACTGTAGACCATGATTTAGACTTGTAGAGTGCTTTAAAACCTCAATAAAACATACAATGTTACTTGGGCTGGGATGTGCAATACATGCTTGTGAACGATTTCCCACCGGAGGTATCCCACTGCGATCAAGCGTTTTGTTAAACGTGTTATCCATATCAAATGTGTTACCGTTTGTAACTTTGTTGATGTATTTCTGTATGTTTATCGTATTCTGCATGTCCATTTAAATTTGAATAATAATTGCCAATTTGATACCCCTAGTTTTAGTACACTATACACTACCACAGTTTACTACCAACTGCTGGAATAGGTGATGAGCCAACAAATTGAGTTCAGTGGAACATAGGAGAATGGGTACGAGAAGTACAGAGAAAGGGAACGGCGAGTAGCACGGAAACTTCTTCCGCGACTTGCCAAGTAAACTCAAACAAGAGCAGTTGCATAAGCTAAAATCTGTTAAAAGTTTAGTGAAGAAGAGTAAGAGTGTCGTAGTAGCAGGAGTGGATAGAGAGAGAGAGAGAGAGAGAGAGAGAGAGAGAGTCAGGACCCGTTAGTTGCAAGGGTAGCTTTTGGTGGAGAACTGGCCTCTCGACGATACCGAGGTTGGACTCGGTAAGATTAGGATTTGGGTTGGTATGGTACCGAGCAGGTCTCCACACACCCGTGAAATCCAAGTCTGCCATCTCCAAGCCTGGAACCACAGACTCTCAGCATAGCCAACATTTGTTCGCCAGAGTCCGCCATTGTGCTAACCGACCGGCGTCGCCAGACGGTTTCACCGAGTCTTCATCAGCCTCACTGTTTCCCGCCATCAAGCTAGCCACCATCATCGAGACCACCACCACCAGCACCATCACCCCCACCAGTAAATTCCAGCAGCCACCGGCCGGTCAGGTATTACACACCACACCCCCCCACACACACACACCATGTTAAATTAGGGAAATAAATGGTAAAATTGTATTTCACCAGCTTCTTTTTACTACACCTTATCCGAGGTCTGATTTGCCGAGTGAAGTACTCCAGCCGACCTTGAGACTCAGAAATAGTTCTCCAGCTCTGCTAGCCATCAAAAAAGGTCGTTGAATGACCCACCCTCATTGGTAGGCCGTTGCTTAGCCAAGCCCGCCGAGGTGTTTGTCCTGGTAGCCCCCTAGGTACCCCACCCTAGCAGCAACAAATGTTCAATGGAGATGGGATAGGCATTGCACGGGGAATATATTTAATAACGGAGGATTAAAAACAAGTGTTTCATATGCGGAAATATCCCTAACCGAAAGTCCAGAAACAGTCAGAAAAATAACTAGTAACGGTGAGCAAATTGACACGTCAAGGAGAGGAAATGTAGTGAATTGAGGAAATAAGTTACTTCTACTGTATTTTAAATCGTTATCAAGATAAATGCACAAGAAGTTCACTAAACATCTCAACGTAGTCTACCATGCGGTCGAGTCTTGTACACAGCCCCACATTTTTTTTAATTCCCAGGCTAATTGCAAAGAAGTTCACTGAGAATACTCTATGCATTTCAGTCAGAAATATTAGGAAAATTTCTAGAGAAAATCCAAGTCAATTTGATGTAAGAGCCTTTCGGGAAGAATTTTCTTAAAATTTCTTTGTTAAGTGGATTACAGACAAGTTGTTGAGAAAGTTTTAACCTATATTCCATGTGAATTCATCCTGGCATATTTCATTTGCTTGAACAAGTCTAGTCAAAATAGTAAATACTATGGGAAACGTAAATTTGTTGTACTCATCGTCTTACCCAATCGCTATAGTTCTATACAGAAAGTTTGCTATCTGTACTTATGTGAAATTTGCTGAAGGCCTCTTTTTGATTGAACATCAAGAACATTAATTATTAATTGATGTCCAAGTCGATATCTTTCTGCTATGATTCATCGGCTGCTCAACAGGCAACCCTACATTTTGCCCCATTCTTCTTGACAAAGCATCGTGATTGCTACTTTAAATTCCTCTCGAATGCAATCGTCCGAAAATATGATGATAATGCATAAGATGCATTAGAGAAAATTGGCATGGAAAAATCTCCCACACATTTCCGAACGCTGTATTACCAACCAGACATACAATGCACTGTATTGCCTCTCTTCGACAGCAAATCCCATTGAAAACGACGACGACGACGACCGGTGCCATCAATCATCGCAGAAGCATCCCGACAAAATCGCATCATTCTATTTTTATGTGCTTCTTGATCTTGATGTTGCAACTCTCTAACTTCGTTATGAAATGTTTGTATATGGCGTCAACTGGAAAAGAAAATACAAATCTTGCGCTTTACCACGACCCATCCGACGACGGCGACGACCAAGCTTGCATATTCATTGTCAATGAGGTCATCCCGTTTCATCAAGATACTACCAGCACCAGCACGGCAGACACTTTCAGTCGGCCACAGACCTTTTGTTCGTTCGAGCATTGATGGATGTGACAATAGCGCATACTGACACTTTTTGCTATTTCGCACCCTCCTTATTTAAGCGGAATCGTAGGTATGCGGCTGTCGGTTTTTCGATCACGTCCCACACCGCGCGACTTACCCCTATAATTATAAAATTTAATAGCCTATCGATGGTAGTCCGCTTGAACTTGGTTTTCCCGGAGTTTTGCATCAGCTTGGTGTCCTTGCCGGCGAAGATCACCACGCCATAGCACCACTGGGTGTTCCGGATGATGCAACCCCGCAGCAGGATTTTGTCGTTGTCCAGCGCATAGCGTTGGTTCTTCCACGTCAGGGTGCCCTCGAATTTGTTCAGCAGATTGTTCGGTGGTTCACACACAATTTCCCCGTTGAACTTCCACAGCAGGTCCTCCTGCTCGCTCATGACGGCCGTCTCCACCAGGCACTGTTTGCACTTGAGATTCGTTTCGCCGTCCAGTTCGGCCGTTTCAATGAAGCACAGCCCGTTCGGTTCGCTCGAAGACAGCAGCAGGATATCGGCCGCCACGAACTGATCGTTGTCCATGCGAATGATGTCCCCGACCTGTACGCCGGACCACTTCTCGTCCACAAGCTTCCCGTGGCGAAGTGCCTTCGAACGGCGGTTGTTGACCTGCGAGTCGGACATGTGACGTTGCTGGAAACCGAAGAACGAAAGAACCGCTTTTAAAACACCTTCGAACTAGGCATGATTGTTGGGTTTTAAACTTACGAAATCATCGTACGCATCCTTGATGGCCGTCAGCATTAGCACCCCGATCAACGGGATGGCCGTGGTCACCGGTGTCAGCGAGGAGATCGCCGGTATCAGTTGCAGGATCAGGAGACATAAAAAATAAAAATTGGCAAGACGTTGGAACTGCTCCAGTAGGTTTAAAGGCAGAAACGTTAAAACGCTATACTTGGACGTTTTGATGTAGTTGTTCTGTCGGGAAGGTCGGAGAGAAGAATGAAAGCATACAATTAGTGCCATACGTACGCACTCGGTCTTCCAGTGGGTGGATGTTCATCAGGGAACGTCTTGTTCGGCTGAAGCGCTCTGAAGTGAAGAGGTACTTACCGCATATTTAAATTGTGTGTTGTATTCTCTATCGTTGGCTCGTATTCTACGTTCATTTTCTGCAAGTAAAATTGGCGGAAAGAGAGAAAGAGATTGTAAGGAATTTGATGAGTAATGGCCTATGTGGAGAAGAAGCAACCAGGAGAAGGGCAACCTAAATATAACTCACAAGGCATATTGACAGAGTCAAGCTCCATTGAAGACGATTAAGCACAGCGTGAGAGGTTTGACTTTCTCACCCAATATATTATATTGCGCGACGGTAGTTGAAAGGGAAAATGGGTTGGAAAGCGAAACGGTCATTATGGGAGGATGTAAGTAGAAAAAAAATAAGCAAAAGGCATCCAGTACTTATCACACTGAGGGGGTGGCGTTACATTCGTAAATACACAATCATACGCTGTACTTGGTCGTAGTACGGAGATTGAGGAGGGGGATGGTCTAATCAATAAAAACGATTACGGGATTGCTGTGTGCTCGAGTGGCGCAACCTGCGTAGGTAGGGCCATTCATTCTGAACAGGATATTACAAAACGTAAGAACGTTGGCCACTTTGTTTGTGTTCCGCGAAGGATGTGCATGCATGTGTGAGTGCGGTTTGTGTATGCCTACATTGTGTTGGTCGAAAGTGGGTCAAAAACGGATTGATGGTTGATTACTATCAAATTGTGTCGAGGCAATTGCGTTTGCCGTGCTTTAGCGGCGGGGGAGTGCAGTGCGTATTGTAAATAGCTATCTACGTATTTGAATCTATGAGAAGAGGGGACTTACTATTTATGTTCCCTCAATTACATACAAGTTATACGATGCACGGAATTGATATTCTAAATTTATTCCATACCAAAAAAGAACGCTAATTTAGGCTTGAAGTGGAAGCAGATTGTTTCAGATTGTTTGTATTAAGGATTTCAAACGTTTGATCCAATGCTGCAATTGATTTTTTTTAATCAGCATTGAAAATTTCCATCTGATCCTGCAAACTAATGCAGGTATTTGTTGTTCGGTAATTTTTGAACTTTCACAACTGCAAGTGAAAAAATCAGTGAAATTTAAAAAAAAAATCGTTCATTTATTCCCAATTTTGTACAGACTTCGTTCAGTTGACCCCATTTAATGATGAAAAAATTGTCGCTTCTATTGATTCCTTACGTATAACGGTCATTGAAATCTTTTCGACTTTATTAGCTGTTCTAAGACCCTTATCGACTTGGGTGATCTGAATTCAGATGAGAGAAAATCGAGAGCAAAAAAATTATTTATTTTCCATTTAATTCCACTTAGTATTTTATCCATGATGGATACAGGGAGGGACCGTTGTTTGCGGATCGTATCATTTTTTTCTGGACTCATTGATACTTGGTTTTTTGTAATATAGATACCAATTGTGGTCAATGTTCGTACTACCAAAGATCAGGTACCAAGAATTGGGAAAAAGGAATACCTACTAAAACCCTATCGGCAAACAACGTACGAATTTTGACTACAATGTGCAGTCATCATCAGGTCATCCCCACTAAACTTCTATTGAAAACAATCCCTCCTAAGTAATCAGTCCCGGGGTAAACATGTCAACATCAGGTATAAAAGTGAGACTACAATGTGTTGAATCGAAACCTTGTAGTTGAAATACGCATCTGTCATGGATGCAAAAGTGGAATCAAATAGAAAATAATCCTCTTTTCTGATCACCAAATTCATAACTTTCATCAAGAAAAGCTATACTAGTATCACCATGAAACTTAAGAGCGATTATTTATTACCTAGAGAAAGTTCTGAAGAGGATAGATTAATAGTTCCACTAGCGCACGGCAGTGTGAACATTTAACAGAAGTTGAAAGTGAGCGAAGGGCCATTAATGTGACAATACTAATCAAATGCGCACTCCTTTGCCTAGCTCATTTGGTGGGTGAGAGGTGTTTGAGGTATTTCCTCAAATTTACAGGCAAAATAGTGCGAGTTAGCTTGGAATAGTTCTAGCGACGTTTATCACTACTTAAACCACTCGTTACCGGAAGCATTTCCAGGCGATGGTGTGTTATAATGCAACTCTTATTTAACCAACTATTGTTTGCAACTGTCGTCATGATCACAGTGCCGTACTCTAATGGAACTATCAATCTATCCGCTTCAGAAAATTCTCTGGTTGATGAATTATCACACTAAAGCTTCATGTTGATATTAGTAAACCATTTCCTCCCAACTCTGTAATCGTAAACTTCACTTATGAAGTAAAAAACACTTGGATTGAATCAAGGAAATGTAAATAGCATAAACAATATTTTCTAGGAAGCATCGATATAGAGAAAGATCGAGACAGAAAGAATATCGAGTTGAACATGATGTATGGGAATCTGAAGGTACTGTCCAACTATCGAAATGTAGAACATCGAGAAATGGATAGTTGACTTGACTATGCTACAAACCATGCTTATGATTTTGATTTCGTGTGATTTCGCATCAGTTTAGAAAACCATATATGATATTTAAACATACTTAGGCCAAATCAGTTACTATGCTAAGCAGGTACTTGAAATCACTTGGAAAGTTGAAATTTTGAATTTGTTTTAACTTTAACTCGATAAAGATGAAACAAAGGCGAAGTTTTATAAAGCACATTACGCACATGATAAGGAGCTGTCCATAAACTACGTAGACAGTTTAGGGGGATGGTTGACAATTATCCTCGGTCCATACAAATTTTAAAATTTTTATACGGACAATTGTCTACGCAGTGGGATGGGGGGGGGGGTCAAAAATAAAAAAAAAAACTGTTACGTAGTTAATGAACAGCCTCTAAGAGCGATGTGTGGATACGTTAATAAAAGTGCGCTTTTACGTTAAATCGTTTTGGTGTCTTCCTTGGTTCATAACGAAATAGTACGCAGAAGACACCAAGATGATACAACGTAAAAGCGCACTTTTATTAGCGATTCCTCACTTTTGTGGAGTCCAGTTAGAAATACGATATCCCGTACGCAATAGTTTAATTTGATTGAATAAGTTTTTGCAAATGCGCTTGGTGTGATTTCGCATTTCGCTTTGTTACCCGGAGTGACCTCGATCACGCTTAGATATTGTTCGGTTGCTGCGATGAGCAACGCCTTTGTGGCCAACGCAGTGTGGTGTAAAATAATAGATACCGAAAACACGTTCGATGATGCAGTGTTTGATGATGACCTGATGATGGAGTGAATGACCGGGATTGGAGATGAATGTGCCAGCTAAGCAAAAATGGAAATAAGTTGCTCCCAAAATCAAAAAACATGCTGTGAACATTTACTTTTAGAAGTTTTTTTTTTTTTATTTTGCTTTTTAGGATCAATCACATGAAATGGACTTATCTCCAGAGAAGCAAATTCCGTGAATTGCAGGGTAGTTAACAACCTCTGGAATAAAAAAAAAACGATGACCATCATTTATCACGACATTTAGCCATTCCACCCCTGCTATAATGTCATCCTGCACAGAAAGTCCATTTGTTTTTTTTTGCAAATAAATGTAAATATAAATATTTGAAATGAATCTTACCATTCGAGATCAATAATCATTCGAGAGACATGTGAACAGTATTCCACTAAAACATTATTTTTCGTTTGATTTACGTCTACGTAGGCTTTTAAAAATTGAACTAAAATCATCCAATACTAAGATGACAAGCATCTGAATTGGTTTGCTATGAATCGAATGACGATCATCTCAATATCATCTGATAAGGCTTGAGTAAGCGAATAATCATTCAAACCAAGGATGACGTTTAGATTCAGTGTAGATTCAGCTGGAGAAAATATACACTGAATGATGATCATTTATGTAGGTTTGTCGGTAGTTATCGTGGAGAATGATTCGGAGCCCGTCTACCTTATGCAGAATGTATACATTTTGAATACGTTGGACGAGTTCCGGGTCATTTCTAAATCAAGTGAATGTAAAGTTGGTGCAATTTGAATTCATAATATATGAATCCTCACCATTGTACAGTGATCATGGATAGATTTGGTCAGTTTGTTTCAGTTGAAAGAAAAACATTCTTATACATATATTATCATTGTTCATTGTTCTTGATTTCATGTTGTTAACCATCGGGATAACCTCGATCTCGCATGATATATTGCTCGGTTGTTGCAGTTTAGATTTTGTTAATTTTGAAACATAATTAGGGATTCAAAGAACGTGGAAAGATCCAGATTTTTTCAGTTATTTATAGATCGAATTTAGGTAAAGCTGAAACAATTCGTGGTGTTTGAATCCACATCATTAGACTTTTAAGACGCCATTGAAAAAAAAAATATGATCATTATTGATTATACTTATACTTCATCATTTCTCAATAGTGATGTAGTAATACGACATGCACTAAACTAAGGACACGGGATATACTACAATAGATCAAATTATTGGTCGCAGTGGTGTAAGGTCCCGAACAGAGGAAAAAAATGTTAAGCGTCTGTTCATTTTGAAACTTGATGGTCCTTGAAAAAATAGATACCGCGATCGCAATTGAACATGTAGCCTAAGCAGGTGGCTAATTTCGTTGTAAGTTCCTCACGATTTCTATGGTCGCATATGCTACGCTACCCAAGTAACAATTTAGGGTGTATAGTGCTCTTGCAGACCATGAATTAGACTTGAAAAACGCTTTAAATTCCTGATAAAACTTATAATGTTGCTTGGGTATGCTATGGCTTTAGCTGTATTGTGATTAATATTGGTGTTTTGCTGTATTATAAAGGGCGAATTCAATAACAATGGCCCACACATAATCAGCTGTAACTATTAAACTATTATACCAAATAACATTCATTTTTCAAAGATGATTCTTTGTAAAGTACTAGAGAACACATTTTAGGCGAATTTGTTCAATATATTAACAGATTATCGTGAAAGTATTATAGAAATTACTGCTTTTGTTTGGCGTAAAAGAATTGATTTTTATTTTTTTTTAAGTCAAAATGAGTTGAAATTATGAAGTGTAATTTCTGACCAACTGTACAATCTTTTGAAATATTACCAAGCCAAACTGGACTAACTGCTACTCAATTCCACCGGCCACATTTAAAAC